GCTAGAATCACAGGGGGTCGGGGATCCAACGCCATGATGGCTCGGCCGTCTTGCCGATGCCGGGCCAGCCTTTTTCGTCTGCCGTGCCTCGTCTTGCCCATGGGCCGAATGTGCGGCCCAGGCACGGGCACGGCTGCGGGCCGTGCCAAGCACGGGCACGCTGCCTAGCGGGCCGGGCCGGGCTAGTGCCGTGTTTTTTAGGGCCGTGCCCGTGTCGGCCCATCGGGCCTGGCCCATTTGAGGTGCCTAGCGGGCTGCAGCCTTGCCTCCGCCAACTCCCAGTCCTTGACGCAGGTGAGCCACTCCACCGTCTCCGGCTTCAGCCTCCTCCGCCGCTCCTCGATAATCCTACCAGTCATACTAAACGTAGATTCTGAAGATATGGTAGACACAGGAACAGTTAAAACATCTTTAGCCATGATGGACAACACTGGATATGTCAGTTTGTGCTCATGCCACCATTTCAAGATGTCAAATGAATCATCCAACTGGCTAACAGTGTCACAATCCAAGTATGAGACAAGTTCAGAAGCATTAGAAGCTGTAGAAGTAGCAGCATGCAGCAAAGCAGTAGCAGATGTATCTCTAGACAGATTAAGAGAGGAATGCAGCAGTGAAGTACCCCCACCAGAAGGACTAGGTGTATCATCATCATAAATTTCATCCCAAGCAGACCTTTTCTTACCAGATAGGTTTTGAGGGACAGTCCTCCTCAACCTAACAGCTCCATATTTCTCCTCATACTTATTGAAAACATCAGTAAGCCTAGCTCTAGTGCCAACCTGGTAAGCACTATAATCTGTACTAGTAAGGTTCATCAACTTCCTCAGCACTTTTGCAAAACCCTTCATTTTAGCTCTAGGGTCCAAGATGAATGCAAAAGAATAGAGCAAAGGTATGTCCCTCCAATATTTATTATATTTGTCTATCATAGGTTGAATCACATTTCTCAGGTGAATGTCATTACTATAATTGTTCAGGTGTATAGCAATCTTAACCAGATAATGAAGCATAAGTGGAGATGTAGGATAGTAAACACCAGACAATGCAACAGTAGCATCATAGAACAGTTCAAGAAACACAAATACTTTTTCAGCAACAGTCCAATGTTCTTCAGTTAGAAGCAACTCACTATTCTCACCTCTAGGATAATTGGCATGTATGAAAGTAGTGAAAGGATCTTTGTGAGGAAGCAAAGTCTTAAGCATTAGATATGTAGAGTTCCACCTTACATCCATATCTAACTGAAACTTTCTAGGCCTAACACCCGCTGCAATGCAAAGTCTTTTGTATGCTGCAATCCTCTGATTAGATGAGTTTAAAAATGATATTGCAGTTCTAAAAATTTCAATCAAAGGTTTAAGATAATTAAGTGCCTCCTTGACAATCAGGTTGATTATATGGCATGCACAACGCTGATGCAAGAACATAGTACTAACAGCAGATTCAGGTTCAGGATGTCTTGGATCCTCTACAGGTACCTCAAGACCATTTTAGGGCCGACTGCGGCTGCCCATGTACGCCGTCCTAGACTCCTAGACCCGTCAAAGTAGTCGTCGTGGAACCACCACGCATCCATCTCCAGTCGTCGAGCTCGCTCGATCCCTAACTTAACTGGCAGCAGGGTACGGTGGTGGTGGCGGATCGGAGTCAACGTAGGAGGCAACTACTTGTGTACTACGTTCTTAATCAGTCCGACTCGAACAGTTGATGCGATCCGATTATTACGTACGGCAACACACACCGGGACGGTTGAGGCGCCGGGGCCGATCGATGGAGCAAGAGGATGATGGCTCAGCCATGCATCGGCGGGATCCATCGCTCCCGCCGGCCTTCTTTCTTGCATGCATTGTCCGAGTCCAACACGAGATGGAACAACGTGGAACCTGCAAATTAAAGCAGCCACCGCCATCAAGCGCGCGCATATATATATTCTTCCTAGCAGATCGACGATCCACCACTTGTCTTATTGTACACACCGCCGGCCGCCGCTGGTCACTATACTACCACCACCGGTGGATCCGATCCACCAACGAGCAGAGATGGAAGAAGAACAAGTGCGCTACACACGACATAGGCGAGGCCCATACATGGACAGCCGCCTCTGGTTGCGCCGAGGAGGACTGCCATCATCATCATCTGATTCTGATGAGGCACCCGCCAAATTCGAATTAGATGATCTTGATCCCGTAGACGACTTGACCTTGGCACCCTATGTTTATCAACGTTTAAGAGCAACCTCCTTTCTTCTATCTCGACTTCGTCGTTCCCCATCCCCACCCCCATCCCGATCCCGACCCCCACACCACCAAGCCAAGCGTGCTTGCATCGCTGCCTCCAGCAAGGCCATCCTAGGTCTCAAAGAGGTGGTGCTCACCAAGGACGACGACGATTGTGCCATCTGCCTCAAGGCGTTGGCCGATCGATATCAGGAGAACGACCCAGCTAGCGCAGAGCCGACCATGTCGACGCTTCGAGCCATGCCCTGCTCCCACGTCTTTCACCAGCACTGCATCTTCTAGTGGCTCTGCCGTAACGCCGTCTGCCCTCTCTGTTGCCACCAGCAGCCCACCACGGATGATGATGATGAGGAGGAGGACTAGGAGTAATGAATATAATAAATATTTCTTTAATGAATAAGCCGGGTTGCATTGTGTCATGTATACATATAGTTTACATTGAAGATCAAATCTGACAGTCTTATTGGATCCTGCAAGACCATGAATTAGCATGTTTGACATATATATATATATATATATATATATATATATATATATGGAAGCACTCGGCAAATATTTTAGTTGCAGTTCAACCCATAGGATTGTGAGCTCATCAAGTGGCTTAGGGTATAGAGGGTTTGCAGAGCGAATGAAGGCATTAATAGATTCGGCATATGTCTAATTTCAGGACAATGCCATAAATCATATCTGATCTTACTTTGGGCTAAATCATCATAAAGCACATACATTCAGATATGAGAGAACAAGGAACTAGATCTGTTAACATATAAAGTGAATTGCTCACTTTTCCTATTAGTTTAAGCTTTTTGTGTTGAATTAGTTGGTGCATGCGACTCATAAGTCATATATGGTATACGTATATACCAAGGCTAGAGATCTCGAATTTCAAGCCTAGCAATTGAATAAAATAGTTTTTGCTTGTTCCTATTCCATTCTATAAGGCTTAAGGGAGCCTCCATGTGATGGGCAATTGAAATATATAGAAAAATGTCATGTGTTCACCTTTCCTATCAGTTTAAGCTTTTGGTTGAACTAATTCATGCTTGCAACACTGCGTGGATATGTTATGTCTGCTCTCTCCTCATCCTGCAATAGCCCTCAACCATGCTAGATGAAATTCATGGGCAGTGGCAGCTAGGTGGTGCCGGTCAGGGGACAAGTAGAACATGTAATTAACATGAATTAAGAAGAGATGACCCAACAATAGAAAGAATGAGCCAAAGCCCATAATGATCTGTAATAAAATAATTAAAAATTCAAAAAGGAAAGGAACTCACTGTACGACAACTTTATAGTTTTTCAGTAAATAAATCAAGAAAAATGCTATAAATAAAAGAGAAGGAAACTCTAGTCTAGAAAGAAAAGAAAAAACACCAACCGACTCCATGAAACGAGATAGGGTGCTACTCACCAGTACTCCTTCTGTCTAAAAATGGTAATCATATTAGATCAAAGGAAAAATCATACAAAATAGATTTTGACATTTAATTTCTCTTATAATATAAAGTCGGTGGCTAAAAAATCAAAATTAACTTTTTTTTTTTGCAAATTATACAAGTACAGACACAAACACTTAACACGCACGCACACTCATCCCTATGAACACACGTACGCAAACCCTTCCCCTAAGACACTTTTAACACAAATCTATGGATGCAAGTGTTATGCTCTGCACTTTCATATAATTTGACTAATTGTAGGTCAAAATTTATAAATTAAGTTTGACTTTTGCTCTGGACAAGTACGATTATCATTTCTGGACGGAGAGAGTACTTCTTGGGTTTCTCCAGTGAGGGAACGAAAGCGACTCATCGTCTCACATGGCATTGGCTTGAGTCGGCTCAATTGTTGGAGAAGCTCAATTCATGGATGAGAGAGAGGAGTAGACTCTATATTTTGCATCGACTCATCGGCCGCAATCAACTATAAAAAATTGGTTTGCTGCTTTTGTAAAAGAGGTCACCTGCCTGGAACCACTAGAACAATGAGCGATTCATCCACACACATGAAACCTTTTTCTACGACGGGTGGACTTGCCACTGGAGATGCCCTTAGGGCGTGTATTGTGGGGGTGACGTCAACTGTCTACAAAAGGTGCTACGAATGACTTTGTATGACCTGCAAGGATGAATATGCCCCTAGTAATTAACAGATGGTCTGAAAACATGCATGTGAGAAAACTCTTATATATAGACCGCATTTTTTCACTATACAAATGTCATTTAGTTTTTATGGCCACATGTCATCAACCAATGGTTGCTATTTAGATTATTTGTTCACAGGTCACACAATGACTGGTCTATTGTGTTATCTAGATTGATATGAAAGCGTATTACAGACATCAGCAGTCATGTAGGGCGCCGTACATGCCCTTAGATAGACATGCCATGCAAACTGCTTGTCAGCTTGCTTTTGCTTGCTCTCCCTACCTAATATAGCACATCCCCAAAACTCAGCACTTGCTTCTTGTTGGCCAGTAAGGTATCTACATAGTATATATATATATATAGTTAGTTTGTTGCAGGCAATGGCCGGGCATCCATGTCGACGCACAAGCAAGCATGACTTCTCTGGCAATAAGCCATTAATAGATGGACCAAATTTAGCAACTACCAAACTACATCCTCCGTGCATATCCTCCCTGAAAAAACCTCTTCCGATCTTACCTTTGTTCTCCCATTCTTTATTTCCCACGCACGAACCCATCACCCGTCCCTTCCTTCTATTGACCGGTGAATTGCATATAGCAGCAGCAACAAGATGCTAAGTTGGCTCCGACGCTTCCCTAACGATGTGATCCATAGGAAGGGCAATGGCACCACCACAGGCCGGAGAACCTCCTCCTCCACCTCTTGGAGGAACAAGAGCAACAGCTTCACCGCACGGATCATCCGTTGTGCCTCCTCTGTGGTCGATACAGCAGGCCGCCGACACGACGACGACGAAGATGATGATTGTCGTCTACCGTCGTCGCCTCCTCCTCCAGCACCACCAAATCATTACAACAATGATAATGGCAGAAACACCAGTGTCATCTCGGCCAAAGCCTTCTCGTTCCGCGAGCTAGCTGATGCCGCAGGAAACTTTCGCCAAGCCAACTTCATCGGCGAGGGAGGCTTCGGTCGCGTCTACAAGGCCCGCCTGCGCATTGCTGGTGAGGATGACCTTCCGGTGGCCATCAAGCAGCTGGACCGCAATGGCTTCCAGGGCAACAATGAGTTCATGGTGGAGGTGCTCATGCTCAGCATGCTGCACCACCCCAACCTCGTCAGCCTCGTTGGTTACTGCGCCGAGGGCGACCAACGCCTGCTCGTCTATGAGTACATGGCACTAGGATCCCTCGAGGACCACCTGTTGTTGCTGCGTGGTGACGATGACAGCGATGGCAGCCAAGAGCATCATGCCCCTTTGCCTTGGCGCACGAGGATGAAGATCGCGCTCGGCGCGGCGCAGGGCCTAGAGTACCTACATGAAAACACTGTCATCTACCGAGATCTCAAGTCCTCCAACATCCTCCTCGACCAAGACTACAGTCCCAAGCTCTCTGACTTCGGCCTTGCCAAGCTCCTCCCCGCCCCGCGCACTGACTCATCCTCCTCATCGTCGTCCTCCTCCTCATCAAGCAGCAACAAGGTGATGGGCACGTATGGGTACTGTGCGCCGGAGTACTTGCGGACAGGAAAGCTCAGCGCCAAGTCGGACGTCTATAGCTTTGGGGTGCTACTGCTGGAGCTCATCACCGGCCGACGAGCCATTGACGCCAGCCGGCCGGACGGCGAGCAAAGTCTCGTGGGATGGGCGGCACGGATATTTGGTGACCCCAAGAGGTTCCATGAGTTTGTGGACCCTCGGTTGGTGATGGCAATGCAAGGGCCTACAGCATTAGAGTTGAAGCAGGCCGTGGGTGTGGCATCCATGTGCTTGCAGGAACACTACGCCCTACGTCCTGTGATGACTGACGTCGTCATGGCCCTTTCCTTCGTCGCCACTGATTCTTCTCCCCCCTGCTAGCTCAAAAATCACAATCTCTCATTTCTCTGTGTATGTAAGTTTGGTTGTTTTATGTAAAAAAAATGGGAAGAAGAATTACATCACAACCTAGTTAGTTTTCATGGATTAGAATGTTATAAGGCATGCGTGCTTGGCTCTTCAAATTGAGAACCTAGTGAAGGAGTAGTGAGGGAGGGGTGACATTGAGTAGGGGGGGATTTGCCAATTGCTTATCATCACCTGCACATGTTAGCCTACCATCCTATAGAGTCGTGTGTCTTGGCTCATATATATGGGTCATCAGGCCTTATGAGCTTTAAATAGCACAACGGCCTTCAAAAATAATCTATTTTTGAAGGTGCTTGGCTAAAGATGCCCGCCTTTATAAAACAACTTCCGAAGGTGGGCACAATATAATGCCTGCCTCCAAAAAGGCCGAGGCCCAACAGGCTCAGGCGAGCCCAATAACCGTCTTTGACTATAAATACAAGGAGAGTTAGGGTTTCTCCTCACTCCTCTCTTTCTCAAACTGAGCCCCTCCATCTCCCTCCTCGCGAGACCGAGCCCCAGTCCTTTAGAATTTTTTCTCGGACAGGGAGGGAGGCAGTTTCGGCTCTAATGGGATCCGCCCCGTGAAGTAGGATTAGTGCATAATTGAAGAGGGAAACAAGCTAGACAAAATTGGGTTAGTACGACTGCAGACAATGGTTTTTATAGATCCAACGGTGGAGAGCCGTCGAAGTCGAAGACGAGCTATAGAGTTTCGTGGAGATGATCTGTTGATTTGTTTTCTGAAAAGCTAGCAAGGAGAAACCAAAAGTCTCTTTACAAACTAATAATATAGTTAAACCAGCTATCGTTCACTAAAAAACATGGAGGACGAGTTTGTTTTCAATGATTATACTCCCTCTGGTGCTAATACAAATCTATTTTAACTTCAATTTAAAATGTAACATGTATGTTGACATATATATAAGGGATTCTAAGTTTATCTAATTAAGAACCTATTTGTTTGGATCGGAGTTTTGGGGCTTTTAGATGGAAGGATGTTTTTATACCTTTTGCATGTTTTATTCGTTTTAAAATTCAATAAATATTTATCTTCTCAGCTTTCCAAAGCTAGAAGGCACCTCTCAATCAACTTTTCAGGTTTTGGTTAACTTTCTTAGGATATGGCTTTTTAAAATTCAGCTTAATGTCCAGGATATTTGTTTCTGCTTCGGATTTCTACCTAATAAAAACTGAAACAAATGGGCTTAAGTTAAATTATCTCAAATCCAACCAGGTTTATGAAGAAGAGTATTAGTGTGTCCTATATAAAAGAGATAAATTATGAAAATATATTTGATAATGTATTTAATTATGGTCATCTGATATCACAAAAGTCCTTCTAACAAACTAGGTGAAAATATATTAGGATAATTTTATTAGAAAAAACTGAGAACTCACACATATTTTGGATTAATTAAAATGGGTGAAAGATTATTACAAGTTGCCGATAAAGATATGAGGAATGGTTGTTGAAAGGAAAATTAGTAATGAGTTGGAGGCGGCCAGCGCACGAGGAGTGACTGCATGGTGGTCCCTATCACCTTTTCAACTTTTTTAGTTGTAGCCGAGACTTGTCCCCCTCCTTCCCTTGGATTGGCGTTATCTTGTACCTTCTTCCACAGATCTGATATTGCCAGGCATGGCCCGCTCCTCCCCGCAGTCCCAGACCTCTATCGGTGGAGCCGATGCTGGTGCGCACCCGGTCACCATTGGCCCCGCGCAGCATGGCTACAGCGGCTGTCGGGATGCACTGCCGCCTCACCACCACGTCCAGCAGGGGAGGCGGCTTCTATGGCGGCCACAAGAGCACCATGCTCTACTTCTACACAGATGAGGTGCCAGTCCTACGCCTCTCGCCCTCCATGGTTCTCGTCATGTCGCTCTGCTTCATCAGCTTCGTCACCGCCCTCCACATCTTCAGCAAACTCTACCGCTCCCGCACCGCTACAGCCTCTGTGTGATCCAATCGCTCTTGCTTCCTTAGATTGGATCAGAGTACCAAATCAGACGGTTTTCGATGATGAATTATGTATGACAAGACTGTAACACCCTCGGTGTTACATCCTAAATCATTTTCGGATAGTATTGACTCGGTTAAGAGAACACAAGTTGTATGTCAAATTCAGCAAGTGTGAGTTTTGATTGGATCGAGTGTAGTTTTTGGGACATATTCTGACACCTGAAGGCATCCCTGTGGATCCTGGCAAGGTGCAGGATGTGTTAAATTGGAATTTTTCAAAGTCAGTGCATCAGATTCGTCAGTTTCTTGGTCATGCTGGGTATTATCGGCACTTCATCCTTGGGTTTTCCAAAATAGCTCAACCCATGACTAAGTTGCTCCAAAAGATGTCAAATTTTTATGGAGTCCGACTTGTGAAGAAGCTTTTCAAGCCCTAAAGAAGTTTCTTACTTCTGCTCCTGTTCTTGCCCAACCAGATATTGATAGGCATTTTGATGTGTATTGTGATGCCTCTAGGACAGGACTGGGATGTGTGCTTATGCAAGGCGGACGTGTGATCGCTTATGCTTCACGTTAACTGAAAAAGCACGAGTTAAATTGTGGCAGAACCGCCTAATTTAATGTCTCCCAAGAGTACTCGTATTCTATTAGACACTAAGTACCCAAGGAAGAACGCTAAATTACTCGGTTCCGTCGGGCACACCCTAAGGAAGAACCCAAAAATCTATATTTTTCCATGAGGATCACAAATGAGAGAATAAAGCTTACATCATTCCTAACAATTTCTTACATCACTTTTAATACAACATCAGAGTATAATATTTATCATTATAATAGCGAAATGTAATCATATTATCAGAGTATGAACAATTTAATTAAATAGCGAAATATAAACATGTGATCAGAATTACAACGGAAATAACTATCTATTCATGACATGACGAAGTATTGATATATAAGCTATGACAACAGATTATAAAGCTTTCATTTATAAAAACATTTGGTGAGAGTTATAAATAAAAACTATGATCGCAGCATAAAGAAAATCCTCTCTAAGCCCACCAGGAGGAATCAACACACAAAGGTCAGCTCAAGCCTCCACCTGTCACCTGCAGCAGGGGAAATAAAACCCTGAGTATTCAATTGTACTCAGCAAGACTTACCCGATAGGAGAAAAGAAAAGACTCCAAGGCAATGCAAGGCTATCTGGCTTGTGGGTTTATTGCATTTGCAGAAAGCATTACTAAGTGTGCGTCCTTATATTCGATTTTTATTAAGAGCCGCATTGGTTCATTAACTTACCATTCTATGTAAGCACCTAAGCTACTTTCAAGCAGGTGGTAAGCAATTAGAGTTCATTTTTCCATCCTCCAACTTTCATCTTTCAGTTCTCACTACGATGCTAAACCGTAGACAAGCCATACTGGATTGCCCGGTAATTCACGAATCAATGCCTCCAGCTGGGTACCCCGAAAACACACGCTCCGCTTGTACCCCAGGCACAGGTAGGACCAACCCATCACTCTCCTGTCCCTGGTGTTCAGGTCCCCATCCAAACTGGGACTCCAAGCCCCCGCCCCTGAGTCCCGGACTCAGAACGGTGCAAGGACCTCCTCCACCAAAAATAAATCCTGACAGTCGGTCCGGAAAGAGCCGGATCCGCGACAAGTAGAAAGCCCATTGCATAGGGTACGATATATTAAAAAGTTAGTATCTGCATCTTTAGATCATCCACCATCAACTAAATAGAAAGCCCATTGCATCATCTCCTGGAGATAATACCATTACACCATCTTCAGATTCCCACTCATCCTTTAATTGATCCGTTAGACCCATCATCGTACCTATATGACATGCATTGATGCAAATGCATAGATGTAAATAATCAACTGCAATCATAACTCATAAAATACGACGTACGCCTCTCGAGTTAACGGGCTAGTTCTAACAACGACCGTACTTAGGCTACATATACACGTTGTCGGATAAGGCGTTATTTTCCAACAATAATTTTAGTTATATAAATCAAGGTGTTTCTTTATTTTATTCTATCAATTTAATTATTATTCGAAATAAGACATCATTATCTATTTAGCAAACTAATTATTCTAGAGCTACAAAAATTACAGTGAGTATCTAATATTGATAGGAGCCTACTATACAAATTTTAGATTCAACAATATTACCAATTTATTATGGAATCTCCTACAAGTTTATATTTTACAATATTAAGTACCTTAAATTAATTATATAGCTTCCATGAATATTATCAAACTATGTGAACAAACTATACTAACAGGTAGATCATAATTTTAGGAACTCAACGAAACTGGTTTTACAATTTTTAGACCACTACACAAATTGCTACCAATTTTTCAAGTTAAACTAGAAACCTATATTCAAAAAGCATTTAGATAAAGGAAAGGCCAGCGGCAACTAACTGGCTCCATGGCCCAGCACGGCCACGGCCAGCGCCCACGGCAGGCCAGACTAGCGGGGCACGGCGCGCGAGCGGCCCAGCAGACCAAACGCAGGCGCGCGGCCCAAGAGCGGACGGATCAGGCGCGGGCGCACCCGGCCCAGGCGCGGGGGAGCCCAGGGTGCGAGAGCAAGCCGGCCAGAGGCCCAGCGCGGGGCGCGCGTAGCCCAAGGTGGGGACCGCGTGAGCAGCCCAGCACGGAGGCGAGCAGGCCGGCCCACGCGCGAGAGCAGGCTGGCCCAGCGCACGGCGGCGGCGGTACATTTTGCGAGAAGCCCCCCATACTCTGCTTAAATTAATCCGCGGTACTAGCGTACTATTTACGTGAGTCTAGTATTTTGCAATAGGAACCCCGTATAAACTTCTTCATGGACTTCTCACCTCGTCTCCTCCACAAAACAGAGCACAGCAGAGCCAGGAGCTCCGGCCGGCGACCAATCCCGGCCGGGATGGACACGACGATGGCAGAAAGCCCGCCGACAAGCGGCACGGGCGCCGCACGGAGAGGTACGCAGCTACGACCAGCTCGCC